TAGTTCTTAAAGGGCCGGTAATAGGGAACATTCCCAGGCACATGGCAGGGTTTTGTTACAGGATGTATCAATATGTCGGCGGACGCAAACCTTTGTTTAAGAATTTCAAAAGCTTCTTAGGCTCCGTAGACCATATCATACTGCTAGCCCCCTTGTGTGTCATATTGGTGATGGGGGCTATTACAGAAGAAAATCCCTTGATAAATCTCCTATAATTGGCAAAACCAATGAACCTCTGAATGGCATTTAACCCATTAGGTAATGGCCACTGCAGAACAGACTTCAGTTTTTGAGGATCCATCTGAAACCCCGAGGTAGAGATATTATATCCCAAAAACTGAACTTCTGTCTGATCAAAAATGCATTTTTCCAATTTACAATAAAGTAGATTTTTCAATAAGGTTTGCAAACCTTGTTTAACATGATTGTTGTGAGTTTGAAGGTCAGGGGAATAAATAAAGATGTCATCCAGATAGAAAAAGACAAATGAGTAAATATAATCCCTGAGTACATCATTAATAAAATCCTGGAATACAGCTGGAGCGTTGCACAACCCGATTGGCATCACCAGGTACTCATAGTGTCCACTTCTGGTATTTAATGCTGTTTTACATTCATGGTTTTCCTTAATATTCACCAAAAATTGTGAGTGCTACTAAGGTCAAGCTTAGTAAATATTTTAGCGCCTTGGAGTCTTTAAAATAATTCAGCAATAAGAGGAATGGGGTAGGCGTTCTTAATGGTGATTTTGTTCAATGCCCTGTAATTGATACATGGACGTAACTCACCATCCTTTTTAGACAAAAAAAGAATCCTGCACCAGCAAGTGAGGATGATTTGCGTATATGGCCTTTATTCAATGAGTCCTTAATATATTCCTCCATTATTCTACTCTCCTGTGGGGAAAAAGCATCCTGCACCTTTAGTTGGCATAGCACCGGGTAGTTAGTTTATGGAACAGTCATATGGTCTGTGAGGAGGTAAAATATTTGACTGAGTTTTGCTGAATATGTCCTGGTATTGTTTAGGGACTTCGGGGGTTTGAGGTGTAATAGTGGGTAATTAAATAGTGCCCACTCTCTTTCATCACAATCCTTACCGAATTCCAATATTTCCCCATTAGCCCAGTCAGTATGAGGGTTATGCTTGCTAAGCCAAGGGAAAATAACCTGAAATGTTATGTAAGGCACCAATGGACATACTAATGGGTAAGGTTTCGTGAGTAATTAATGGTTGAGAGTGGTCTGCCATCTATAGCCTCAACAGCTAGAGGTGATAGTCAGGTAGAGCATTACACTTAACAAATTGAACATCATTGAAGTTTCCGGCAGCACCTGAGAACATTAGGGCTTTGCATGAAAAGTTATTTTTGTCAAGGATAATTGAAATATCAATGAGAAATCTATTTTTGTTCTTTCCAGAGAACGTCTCCATTACACCTAAGATCTGTCCCCTTAAGGTGCTTAGGTGCAGTAGTTTTCCAGAAGAATTGGACAATTACTTCTCATATGTCCTTTTCTACCGCAGTATAGACATAGGCCTTCTTTTCTCCTATATTGTCTTTCTGCTTCCGACAGTCTAGTGACCCCCAACTGCATGGGTTCGGACTGTGCAGGAAGGTCAGGGACAAAAGGTTTGGAGAAACAGGGTGCTAAAGGCATAGTCAATCATCTGCTCTTGATTCTAGTAGCTTCTGTGGTTTTTAGTGTATTATGAATTTGCATAACAAATGTGATAAACTCATTAAGTTTCTTGGGTAGGTGTTTGGCAGCAATCTCATCTAGCATAGTTTCAGATAATCCCTATTTAAATGCAGAGATTAGCCCACTGTTAGTCCAGTCTACCTCGGAAGCCAAGGTACGAAATTCTATGGCATACTCCGAGATTCCAACCGATTCCATTGTCTGATGTGCATCAAGGCAGTGGAGGTGTCATCCTCCCTGCATAATGGTTCAAATGTTAGTTTAAATTCCGTGAGGAATTCCTGGTAATTGTGCGCCACACTCCCAGGGCCGGCGCTACCTGTTAGGCAGACTAGGCAGCCGGACTAGGGGGCCGGCGCTACCTGTTAGGCGGACTAGGCAGCCGCCTAGTGCGCCCCTTGGGAAGGGGCGCCACCAGGAGCGCAGGCCCCCCTCATGCTGCAGCCACCCGAGCACTCTACAGAGAGCCTAAGGTGGCTCCAGCTTTGCCTGGGCTGGTGCATCCATGCGGGCGCACCGCCCAGGCTCAGCATGAGGAGAGGGGCATACAGGAGGGAAGCGCTCAGCGCTCCCTCCTGTCACTCTCTCGCTGTAGCGTGGCTGAGTAGGGAATAAATTGAAAGGGGGTGGGCAATAAATTCAAATGGAGGGTAGGGAATAAATTGAAAGGGGGTGGGGAATAAATTGAAAGGGGGGAATAAATTGACAGGGAGGGTGGGGGAAATAATAAATTGAAAGGGAGAATGGGGAATAAATTGAAAGGGGGAATAAATTGACAGGGGGGGAATAAATTGACAGGGAGGGGAAAGAAATTGACAGGGTGGGGGGAAGAAATTGACAGGGAGGGGAATTGACGGGGAGGGAGGGGGGAAATGAGAGTGGGGAGGGGAGAAGAGAGTGACAACGGGGGAGAAGAGAGTGACAAGGGAGGGGGGAGAAGAGAGGGACAAGCAGGGGAGAAGAGAGTGACAAGGGAGGGGGGAAGAAGAGAGGGACAAGGGAGGGAGAGGGGGGAGAAGAGATTGACATCCATCACACACACACACACAATGCACCCCTTACACACAAAGACAATGCACCCCTTGCACACAGAAAAACACACAATGCATTACACACACACAGACACACACACACAGCAATGCAACCCTTACACACAATGCATCCCTTACACACACAGAAACACACAATGCATTCCTTACACACACTCAATGCACCCCTTACAGACGCACACACTGCATCCTGTACATACACAGAAACACACCTTGCAGCCCTTACACATACAAACACAGATTCACACAATGCATTCCTTACACGCATATCAGGACATCCCCCTACTCCACCCCCTGTGAACAAACTCATTGGTGGAACATGAAGGTGGACCCTGGGACCCAGACCTTGAGCTGTGTAAAGGGCCTTAAAAAAATGGAGCTGCTTCCCGTTCTCCCAGAACATGATTTTTGTGACCACAGTTATAAACAGCCTCCAGAGAGCCTGTTCTACACCAGACCAGTGGAGCCAGACTGCAGCTAGAGCCCATCATCATCCTCATCTGGTTGTAAGTAGGCAATCTAGTATATTATTCGTGGCACTAATCTCTAATTTACCTCACATTAAAAACACTATAGTCCCCAGAACCACTTCAGCTTAATGCAGCGGTTCTGGTGTCTATAGCCTGTCCTTGCAGGCCTTTTAATGTAAACACGGCGGCACTGCAGCACTGGTGTTAGTTAACATGGCAGATCATATGGGTGGGGCATTGTGATGTCACATGGGGGGGCGGCAAACTTTACTTTTGCCTAGGGCAGCAAAAATCCTTGCACCGGCCCTGTCTGCACTCATCCAATAGTGTGCAATAGGATTGCTTTAAATAGTGGACTTGCAAGGGATGGAAGCATCACTGACCGACGTCCTGAGGAAGCTTTACAGCGAAACGCGTAGACGACGCAGTGACGCAACCACATTGATTACGTGTTGACGCAAAGGGGGCGGAGCACCTGGAAGACCCGGAAGACTCCAAGCCAACGCTCTGAATTACTTGGCGGCCGGAGATCACTGTACAACATTCTATCCGTGGAGGATGTGTGGAAGCCAGCTGCTATGTTGATTGAGCCTGTGTAAAGGCAACACAAAGCGTCTGTGAGTAGCAGCTGGGACTGCCTATAGTCACTTTCTTTAGTTTTGTAAGAGGCTATTTTTTCTATTTTTATTGCAATGTCCATTACTCTGACCCTTTAATGTGGATAGGAGTGTTTTATGTTTAGCATGTCTAATAAATATATGTATTTAATTGTTACTGTGCTTCACTATTGTATGCCCTCTATTTCTTTTTTATATATATATCTGAGTTGAAGCAATCTCAAGATCTCTCTGAGACTTTGGAATTGATTTTGCGCTCCACCTGTATAAGTATACTGTTTGTTGTATGTGTGGGAATTGGGTACACACAGGTGTGTAGCAGCTTGTTTATATTTTAACCCTGAATATTAGGGATTTTGCTATTTTGAGGTGGTGAAGAATTTTTCGGCACATTTTTTATTATTTTCCCCTCACTCTTATTTTATTCTATTTGCTTATTTTTATTAGCGTTTTTATATTTAAGAGACGTTATCATTTCTATGCAGATGACACACAAATCTACCTGTTCTCTCCTGATCTCTCCCCGTCCCTCTTGACTAGAATATCTGACTGCCTCTCTGCTGTTTATAACTGGATGGCTGCCCAGTTCCCTAAACTAAACTTGACCAAAACTGAAATTTTGGTCTTTTCTCCCTCAAGTGTTGTTACTCCTGTGTCTGTCTCCCTCCAAGTCAACGGTGCTACCATCAGCTCCACCACGCAGGCTCACTGCCTAGGTATTCTCTTTGACTCCGACCTCTCCTTCAAGCCTCATGTTCAATCTATCACCAAATCCTGTCATTTCCATCTCAAAAATATTGCGCGCATCCGCCCCTACTTAACGCCAGATGTGACTAAGGTGTTGGTCCATTCCACTGTCCTTTCTTGCCTTGACTACTGTAATCCGCTTCTCAGTGGTCTTACGTGCTCCCAACTTGCGCCGTTACAGTCCATAATGAATGCGGCAGTGAGGCTCATTTTCCTGTCCGCCCGCACCTCCCATGCCTCACCCTTCTGTCAGTCCCTACACTGGCTTCCTATAAAATAAAGTTGTTTATTTCTTTTTTGCATTATGATGTCATAATCAGATCACTTTTTTCCCTATCCAGAAGCATCTTATCTTTTGTCGCAACCAGTGTTTGATATTCTACCAACATCAGCGAGATCGCATTATCTTGATTTTGTCTTCTCCATCCCAGTCTGAAAGTGCCTGATCTCGTCTGATCTCAGATGCTATCCAGACTTGGGCCTGGTTAGTACTTGTATGGGAGACCAACTAGGAACCTGTCAGGATTACTGTTTGATCCAGCATGTAGAACTGTACAGCATGGATGACAAATAAGTAACGTATTACCGGTCCTTAGAATGGCCGGATTTAACGTACAAAGAATAGTCAAAAATACTAGCCGAGGTCAGGGAACACAGAAAGGGACACAGCGATGAGGAAAGCCAGGAGTCAGGATACCAGAATATAGAGAAGTCAATAAACAAAGCCAAAGTCAAAAACCAGGTAGAAAACTATAAACAGGAACGCGCTCTCAGACAACCACAAGGGAAACCACGACAGGGCACTGAGCAGGCTGAGAACTGGGCCTAAATACCCCTCCTTTAGTTCTGATAGGCTGTAACCGGCCTTTGACCCCAAAGTCAGTTACCAGGTTTCATTTGCATAATTGCTGCTCAGAATTAACCCTTCTGTGGATTAGGTTGCTGCTCGGCACAACTTTTCCTGTGTGGACAGTAAATGTCATTAACCACATTTCTATAAGCGGATGAATACGTGACATTACCCCCCACCTGAAGAACGCCCACCGGGCGGACAGGACCAGGCTTGAGAGGAAATTTAGCGTGAAAAGCGCGGATCTTACGGCCCGCATGCAGGTCAGGAGCCAAAACCCAAGAACGATCAGCAGGACCGTAACCTTTCCAAACAACCAAGTACTGTAAAGTGCCCCGAGAAAACCTAGAATCCACGATAGAAGATACCTCATACTCTTCCTGACCACCCACCACCACCGGAGGGGGAGGAACACAAGGAACAGTATATCTATTGCAGACAAGAGGTTTGAGTAAGGACACATGAAAAGTGTTGGGAATCCCTAAAGATGCAGGAAGAGCCAGAGAGTAAGACACTGGATTGATCCTACGAAGCACTCTATAGGGACCAAGGAATCTGGGGGCAAACTTCATGCTAGGGACCTTAAGCTTGATGTTGCGAGATGACAACCAAACCCGGTCCCCCACTTGGTACACCGGGTTGGCACTCCTACGCTTATCAACAAAATGTTTGAAGCGTTCAGCAGCAGCCCCTAGAGCAGTTTGAACCTTAACCCAGGTAACCCGAATGTAGGCCAGACGCTCATCCAGAGCAGGAATAGCAGTATCAGAAAATACCGCAGGGAGAACCGTAGGGTGCCTACCATTTTTGACAAAAAATGGACTGTGCCCAGAGGAGTCATGAACAGCATTGTTTCTAGCGAACTCGGCCCACGGGAGTAGTTCGGACCAATTGTCTTGTGTGCTATTAATAAAACAACGCAAATAAACTTCTAATGACTGGTTAGCCCTCTCAGCTGTACCATTGGTCTGTGGATGGTAGGAGGAGGAGAAGGAGAGATCAATCCCCAATTGTTTACTGAACGCCCTCCAGAACCTGGACACAAACTGAGAGCCCCTATCAGACACAATATTGTGGGGGATGCCATGCAAACGGACAATTTCACGTATGAAAATTAGGACCAAATCTTGCGAAGATGGCAACTTCTTGAGAGGAATGAAGTGAGCCATCTTAGAAAATTGGTCTACAACCATGAGAATAGTAGTGAACCCAGCAGAGCTAGGAAGCTCAACAATAAAGTCCATGGATAAGTGGGACCATGAAATCTCAGGAACAGGAAGAGGCTGCAACAGGCCACAAGGAAGTGCATGAGTCACCTTAGAAACTGCACACACAGAACATGCCTGCACATACTCCTTTACATATTTCCTGAGTGAATCCCACCAAAATTATCTAGTGATCGAGGCAGTGGACTTATTGATGCCCGGGTGTCCAGCAGTTATATTGTCATGGAACACTTTCATGATATTAACCCTTTCACATAGGGGAACAAACAGTTTATCACACGGTTTATCACTGGGCGCCTGAGGCTGGGCCTCCAGTATGGTGCCAAGCAGTGGAGAAGACAGTGAGAGGACAGTAGTAGCAATAATACACTCTGGTGGAATAATAGGAGATGTCACCTGTTCCGGATCTGACTCATTATCAAATTGCCTGTACAAGGCATCAGCCTTGGTATTTTTAGAACCAGGTCTATAAGTAATGAGAAAGTTAAAACGTGAAAGGAACAGTGACCATCTAGCCTGTCTGGAAGACAAACGTTTGGCATCCCCTATATATGCCAGATTTTTGTGGTCGGTTATGATCAACAGTGGGTCCTTGGAGCCCTCCAAAAGATGTCACCACTCCTTGAGGGCAAGAATAATGGCCAACAGTTCTCTATTGACAATATCGTAGTTGCGCTCAGCAGGAGACATCTTTCTGGAGAAGTAGCCACAAGGATGCAATGGTGTTCCCTGACTTTCTCTCTGAGAGAGAACAGCCCCTACCCCTGTCTCGGATGCATCAACCTCCAATATAAAAGGTTTACTATTGTCGGGATGTTTTAGTATATCCGCAGAGGCAAATCTTTGTTTAAGAGTCTCAAAAGCATTCACAGCCTCTTTGGACCATACCGTGCTACTAACCCCTTTGCGAGTCATATTTGTGATTGGGGCTATTACAGAAGAAAATCCCTTGATGAATCTTCTGTAATAGTTGGCAAAACCAATAAACCTTTGAATGGCTTTTAAACCAGAGGGTAATGGCCAGTGTAGTACAGCCTCTAGTTTTTTAGGATCCATTTGAAATCCCGATGCAGAGATGTTGTAACCCAAAAAGTGGACTTCAGGCTGGTCAGATATGCACTTTTCTAATTTACAATAAAGTTTATTTTTCAACAACGTCTGCAGAACCTGTTTCACATGGGAGTGGTGAGTTTGAAGATCAGGGGAATACACCAAAATATCGTCCAAATAAACCAAGACAAATGAGTAAATGAATTCCCTGAGTACATCATTTATAAAGTCTTGGAATACGGCCGGGGCGTTGCATAACCCAAATGGCATTACCAGATATTCATAGTGTCCACTACGGGTATTAAATGCCGTCTTCCACTCATGATTCTCTTTAATTCTAACCAAATTGTAAGCGCTCCTAAGGTCAAGCTTAGTAAATACTTTAGCTCCCTGAAGTCTATCGAACAATTCGGAAATGAGTGGGATAGGGTATGCATTTTTTACAGTGATTTTATTAAGTGCCCTGTAGTCTATGCAAGGGTGTAACTCACCACCCTTTTTCTCAACAAAAAAGAATCCTGCACCAGCTGGTGAGGATGACTTTCTTATGTGCCCTTTGCTCAAGGATTCTTTGATGTATTCCTCCATTATTTTACTCTCCTGGGGAGATAAGGCATAAACTGCCCCCTTAGGTGGCATAGCGCCTGGAAACAGGTTAATGGCACAGTCATATGCTCTGTGGGGAGGCAATACATCAGATTGAGCCTTGTTAAACACCTCCTGAAGTTCTCGGTATTGTATGGGAACTCCAGGAGTTTGGGGAGTGGTAGTGGGAAGGTCAATAGTATCCAATCTCTTTAGTACTGGTTTTATACATCTCCCCATACACTCTTTACCCCATTCTAATATCTCCCCATTAGCCCAGTCAATATAGGGATTGTGCTTACTCAGCCACGGAAACCCTAATATGATAGGACATGATAGAGAAGTAATAACCTGAAACGTCATCTCCTCCCTATGGGAGGCCCCAATGGAGATCGTAATAGGGACAGTTTTGTGGGTTATAAGCGGTTGTGTGAGTGGTCTACCATCAATAGCCTCTACAGCTAGCGGCGTAGGTCTCTCCCTGACCGGTATCTCATTACCCCTAATAAACTGGACATCAATAAAATTTCCAGCAGCACCTGAGTCCATTAGGGCACTGCAAGAAAACTTCTTGTTATCAAGGGAAATAGATACCTCAAGGAGGAATCTACTTTTGTTTTTGTTAGAGGACAACTCCATCACACCTAAGATCTGTCCCCTTAAGGTTCTTAGGTGCGGAAGTTTTCCGGACGCACTGGGCAATTAGTTATCATATGTCCCTTTCTACCGCAATATAGGCATAACCCCTCCCTTCTCCTATACTGTTTTTCGGCCTCTGACAGTCTAGTGACCCCCAACTGCATAGGTTCGGGTTCGGACTGTACAGGGAGGTTAGACAAAACAGGTTTAGAGAATTGAGGTGCTAGGGACATAGCTGTACGTCTGGTCTTGCTTCTGGTGACTTCTCTGAGTCTTAACCTATTATCAATATGCATGACAAACGTAATAAATTCGTTAAGACTCTTAGGTAATTCTTTAGCGGCTATCTCATCTAGTATAGTCTCTGAGGGACCCTTTTTGAATGCTGAGATTAACCCATTGTTAGTTCAGTCTACCTCGGAAGCTAAGGTACGGAATTCAATAGCATAATCCGAGATAGACCAGTTACCTTGTCTGATGTGCATTAGGGCAGTGGAGTCGTCATCCTCTCTACCCAATGGCTCAAACGTGAGCTTGAATTCGGCATGGAATTCCTGGTAATTATGAGCTATGCTCCGATTACTCTCCCACAATGGATTAGCCCAGGCAAGGGCCTTTCCCTTTAATTGATTCATTAGATAACCAATTCTTGCTCTGTCCGTGGGGAATGACCCTGGTGAGGCCTCAAAATGGTATTCCACCTGATTAAGAAAACCCCTGCATTCCTGGATATTGCCATCAAACTGTAGGGATGGTAATAAGGAGATGCTAGGAGTCCTATTAACAGTGGGTGGAGGTACACAGGGTAGAGGTGCTATAGGAGGAGACGCTGCAGAGACGCTGCAGGCTGCAGATGCTCCGTTCTAGCGAGAAGCGTACTTAAAGCCTTGCGGTGATCATTCTCCTCTTATTTCCTCTCGCAAGCAGCTATGTGCTGACACAGTTCTACAGGATCTATGGCCATGTCGTAATGTCAGGATTACTGTTTGATCCAGCACGGATGACAAATAAGTAACGTATTACCGGTCCTTAGAACGGCCGGATTTGACGTACAAAGAATAGTCAAAAATACAAGCCGAGGTCAGGGAACACAGAAAGGGACACAGCAATGAGGAAAGCCAGGAGTCAGGATACCAGAATATAGAGAAGTTAATAAACAAAGCCAAAGTCAAAAACCAGGTAGAAAACTATAAACAGGAACACGCTCTCGGACAACCACAAGGGAAACCACGACAGGGCACTGAGCAGGCTGAGAACTGGGCCTAAACACCCCTCCTTTAGTTCTGATAGGCTGTAACCGGCCTTTGACCCCAAAGTCAGTTACCAGGTTTCATTTGCAAAATTGCTGCTCAGAATTAACCCTTCTGTGGATTAGGTTGCTGCTCGGCACAACTTTTCCTGTGTGGACAGTAAATGTCATTAACCACATTTCTATAAGCGGATGAATACGTGACAGAACCTCAGGTGCCGTAAGTTTTTGTTTATTTCATTTTTGCATTATGATGATATAATCAGATCACTTTTTTCCCTATGCAGAAGCATCTTGTCTTTTGTCGCAACCAGTGTTTGATATTCTACCATCAGCGAAATCGCATTTGCTTAATTTTGCCTACGGCCATACCAGTCTGAAAGTGCCTGATCTCGTCCGATCTCAGAAGCCATCCAGACTTGGGCCTGTTTAGTTCTTGTATTGTAAGAAATTGATATTCCAAACTGAAATATTGTATATAACTTTCTGTGTATGTGACTGGTTTCACAAGTTGGGGTCATTTACTTGATAACAGTGTGATAAGGATCAAAGCTTTCAGTTGCATTTTACAACACCCAGCTAAGACAAAAGCTTACATCCCTCCAGCATTCCTTGCATGTTATCAGGAGATCAGAGTAATAGACATCTAGGTGAAACCATTGAAGTGTGTGTTTTCCCAAGCAGTCTAACCCACCCAGAAACCAACCCTAACTGGTCACTTCTTTCAGAACATTACAATATAGCTGGAGGGAAGAGATCAAAGGGAAAGACTTGTGTAAAGACAGAACTCTCTGGAGAAAGAGGGTGGGATAAACCACTTTTGGGAGGGAAAAGGGATTCTGGGACTTGTAGTTTATTACTCCAAGAATCAGTCTTTAAAAGGACAACAACCAAGGAAGGCTCTCTCTTCTTTCTCTCTCTCTTTGGAGAGGACAACGCAGCAAGCAGGGCCATGGTGAACTGAGAGAGGCTGTCCCAGATTACCCAAGATGAAGGCGCAAGGGGAAGACCTGCATTTAAATGTTTAAGTATTGCCTTTTTATTATGTAGCTTTTGATTATGTACCGGATATAATGTATAATGTATATTGTGTATATCCTTTTAAAATCTAACAGTATCCTTAAATGAATATTTACAATACATTTTATTATACACTTGTGTTTATGTCTAATTTGTCACACATTCCCTAAAAGAATATCCTTGTAAGAGGATCATAATTTCTTACAAATTGGCGAGCCGAGGTAGGAGGGATTTAGTGTGATTTATGAGCATATTCATAATTGTATAGATTGTATATTTACTTTTGGATACTGTTCAGATATTGTGTATAGACATTTCAGTGAATTGTGCGTTGTCAATGATGGAGAGTTTATTGAAAAAGATTGCTAAGGTGTCTAATCCAGAAGCAATAATTAAATGTATGGATGGTGCATTAGATCCGTGGCTTAATGCTCAGGATTATGTGGCCAGGGCAATTATTGAAAAGAAATTGTCCAAATCTAGTGGTAAAATTGCTTTGATTTATGCTGCCCGTTGGATTGCGGAGAAGTATAAATCTTTAAATAGGCAAAAAGAGAAATTAGAGGCAGACATTTTGAGTTTAAAGAATGAAGTGGAAGGTTTTAAACTGTCTGCGCAAAATGCTGCTGCTTTGTGTGTAGGTAGTCAGCAAATGCATCTTGAAAATGAGGAATTGCACAGTTGTAATGAGCAGCTCGTAGAAAGGCTGAAGGATGCAGAGGGTGCTATTAGAATCTTTGCTTCCAGCAGCCAGAAAGAGGCTGATCATTCTGTGTGCCTTAAAGAAATTGATGATTTAAAATGTAAACTAAGAAAAATAAATGGTTTTGCTGCTACTAAATATGGGCTGAAAACCAATTGTGGAGGTTTGTGTACAACAAAGATGGAGGTGTTTCATAATAATTATAGTAATCGTGAGTGCAGTATTCCTGCTAAAATGGCACCAGTCTCTACAGAGCACATGGTGGATGCACAGGGAAATGTACTACATAAAACTACTGTGACCCATTCCTTAAAACATACAGAGGTTATTGCACTGAGCAAAGAACTGGGATGTATACGCTTGGATGATGATCCAGTAGATGTAATGTTAAAAATTGATCAATTTGAAAAAATCCACAGAAACTTAAATGAATTGGATATTTTTGATGTTATAATTGCTAGTACAGACCAGTCACTAAGAGCAAGTCTGCCACATGAGATATTTATAGAACCTAGAACCAAGCAACAACTTATCAAAGAGTTATTAAACGCACTTGGTCTAGAGGAAATAAATCGCCTTTTTATAAATTGCCTTTTTATTATGTAGCTTTTGATTATGTACCGGATATAATGTATAATGTATATTGTGTATATCCTTTTAAAATCTAACAGTATCCTTAAATGAATATTTACAATACATTTTATTATACACTTGTGTTTATGTCTTATTTGTCACACATTCCCTAAAAGAATATCCTTGTAAGAGGATCATAATTTCTTACAGTATGGGAGACCAACTAGGAACCTCAGGTGCCGTAAGCTTTTGTTTATTTCTTTTTTGCAGTATGATGTTATAATCAGATCACTTTTTTCCCTATGCAGAAGCGTCTTGTCTTTGGTCACAACCAGTGTTTGATATTCTACCAACATCAGCGAAATCGCATTCGCTTATTTTTGCGTATTTTTGCTTACGGCCATACCAGTCTGAAAGTGCCTCATCTCGTCAGATCTCAGAAGCCATGCAGACTTGGACCTGGTTAGTACTTGTATGGGAGACCAACTAGGGACCTCAGGTGCCGTAAGCTTTTCTTTATTTCTGTTTTGCATTATGATGTCATAAGCAGATCACTTTTTTCCCTATGCAGAAGCGTCTTGTCTTTTGTCACAACCAGTGTTTGATATTCTACCAACATCAGCGAAATCGCATTCGCTTACTTTCGCTTACGGCCATACCAGTCTGAAAGTACCTGATCTCGTCCAATCTCAGAAGCCATCCAGACTCGGGCCTGTTTAGTACTTGTATGGGAGACCAACTAGGAACCTCAGGGGTCGTAAGTTTTTGTTTATTTATTTTTTGCATTATAATGTCATAATCAGATCACTTTTTTTCCCTATCCAGAAGCGTCTTGTCTTTTGTCGCAACCAGCGTTTCCTCACTCACAGGTCTGGCAATACTGCCTCAGATCCTTCGAGATGCCTCGCCAGAAAAGGCTTTGGGTTAATCGATGCGGAGTACGACCCTTTCCCAAATGCTCTGCCAAGGGTATATCATGCGCTATCTTCAACAGCTCATTCCGATATTATCTGGGCGCTCCAGCTGTCTGGTGGTAGTAGGAGCTGTCCCTGAATTTCTCCGCTATGTGGTATAGCAATCCCCTATCCCAGATAAACCACTCCCCGTCCTTCCCCACCTGAACAGTGGCCGTCCTATCCCTATACGTCTGGAGGGTAGGGTTGGATACTACTTAACTCCCAAACTCGGCAGGGGTATCCCAAGGCAAGGGGGCAAGGACAAGGGAGGAACTACGGGGCAAGGGAACTAGCACAGGGTGCCTGCTTACATGGGCAGCTACGTGAACCTGGGAGATGGGGACGGGTATGTGTGCCTACCTGAGCCTCGGAGTGTGAGCTATGCCAGTTGGTGCAGGCTTGCTGCCAGGTTGTCACTGGGTACGTCTCCTCGGTGGTCCGAAAGTGCACATGTGGAGGTAAGGTGGCCCAGGTCATTGCTGAGTGAGCCTGACTTCCCTCTTGTCTCCGGTGCCCCAGTCGAGGTGAACGTGGGCAATGGGTAGGCGGTGAATGGTTCCCTTTGGTACTCGGACAGTGACTGTTCCTCCAGTCTTCTCCACCTCTGCAATGAGCTGGGGTTGAACTAAGAGTCAGGGTGGCTCCGGTGGCTCTCAAGTACAGTGCGCCCGTTCAGCCGGACCGGCTGCCTGTGTTGGTCCCTGTTGTTGGAGGCGGCCTGGATGGGGTTTACCTCATGCAGGCAGGGCCAGGCTTCTTCGTGGGGGTCCTGGGGTTCAGTGGAGGCAGCCTGGTAACAGAGGGCTGCTTCTCACAGCCAGGAGGGGCCACTGGGGTCGGCCCCTGGACTGTGGGCAATTCTGCTTGACATGACTGGGCTGGTGGCACTGAAAGCATTGCCGGTCGGCCCGAGTTGGCGTTCGCCGGGGTGGTGTCAGAACCGGGGAACCTCAGAGTGGGGCTGTGGCAGCGGGGGTAGGTTGTGGAAAGAGTCTAATGGGGGGTCGGTATCTGTGTGATGTAACAGGGTGTTGGGGCTGCCGGGTGTCTGCATACTCGTCAGCCCGCTGTGCTGTTTCTGTTAAAGTCTTGTGCTGCCTGTCTCTCACCCATTCCTGCATCTCAGTAGGGAGCTCATTATAAAAGTGCTCCAGCATGAACAGCTGGAAGATCTCTTCTGGAGACTTTGCCTGTTGGGAGTTCATCCAGTTCTGGGTTGCTTGGGTGATGCGGCTCCGCATGGGAGCCCTTCTCCCCTTTCTTTGTCTCCCTGCACTTTCTGTGGTATGCCGCTTGGTTTATGGCATCCCTGGCTAGCAGTACCTATCTGATAAAATCGTACTCCTGAACCTTGTCCCCCGGTAGGCACTTGCCGCCTACCCTGCTGCATTCCTGGCCAAGATGGTGACCCGGTCTGTGGAGGCGACTTCTTGCAGGAGGCACTGGCGCTCGAAGTCCTGCAGGAAGTCATCAATGCCCTCCTCCGCTTCCTTGAAAGCATCGTAGGGCAATTTGTGTTTTCGGGCAAGGGTTACCAGATTCCCCGGGGACCTCTCTCTTGCCCGTCTTTCTTCGAGCTATGTGGGGTTTTCCCCATTCTGCTGTGCCAGGACATATGCTTGTGCCTCAGAGAAAATCTTGGTCATGATTTCCTCTGACGGGGTTTTCTTTATAGAATGGCAGGCACCATGCCACTTCTTTGGGAAAGGTATCCATTTCGCCCTTCAGCTGTGGTACAGCTGCTTCACCACGTGGCGATCGTCCTCCATAAGGGCGGCAATCAGATCAGCCTTGGTACGAGTTCTGGCTGATTCCCCTCTGGCTACCAGCAAATCATGTAATGTTTGCTCTTTAACGTTGTGTAATCCATGGGTCTGTTCGGCTGGGAAGAGACCCATTCCCCCCAGTAACCGGATGACACAAAGTCCTGGAGTTACAATAACAACTTTATTGGCCACACACGTACACATACATAACCCCATGCAAGGGGAGCACCACATAATCCTACAAGGTTACATCCCAGGATCCTCCCCCTCCCCGGGGCTCTAGCGCGGGAAGGGACTCCTTTCCCTTTGTTCCCCAAAACATGCCACTAAAAGCACAAGCGCCTGCCCAAAAGAGTTCCATAGATGCAGGCTGTGCGTTAAACCAAACATACTTGGGGCTGGAAGTTCTAGCAGTGTTCACACCGTCGAGTG